GCGGTCGTTGCATTGCATTTGTCTTCCGTTTTCTTCCGGAACCCATGCGCCTGGTGACATTTCCCGTTTCCATATACCGATTCCAGGCATCCTGGACTGTTGTTCGAGGTATGCCCAGGGTATCGGACACATAACATTGACTTCGGCCATCCTCAAGTAAAGCCACGATTCGAACAACATCCGTCTCAGATAATGGCATTTTTTAGTTTGACAACCGTTGTTATCATATTGCAAATACTCATAAATCCGTTTTCGCCTCTGTAGCTTCGAACATAAAACTTTCTGCTTGCGAAGAATTTTTCCGAGACGTTCGTTTCAAAGCAGCCTATCTCCAATAAAATGAGAGATAATGCCGTGATTAAAAAAACAAAATGCTCACAAAAGTTGAGGCTATAATGTGATTTAATTTAGCAATAGCTACTACAGCTGCTGCACCCTACAGGGTGTTACAAACTTTGGACAGAAAACTTTGTCTTATTGTTGTGCCCTGTATACGCTCAAAATAAATTCGGAATAAAAATTTCTCTGTTAAGAAGGAATTAGTTTACAATTTCCAAAAAATCATCAAAATCTAATGAGTGGTTCGCGAGAAATCCAACTTTGAAAGTGGGACTAGTTTTTAGTAGCCGGTTTTTTTTGCCGGTGAGTAGTTGGCTATTCTGCCATTCAACCAATTTTTTTAGGCATTGCATTTTTGATAGAAGAAAATCAGGTTACGTAATTTTAGGATCAATTTATAAAATTCCTGTGAAACTAGTGGCCTTATTGATACTTCTACAGTATGTCCCCGGATTGTCTTTACAAGAGGAAAAACTTTTTTATTATTGACATTATAAGAAAATTGCATTCTTCGTAAAAAAAATATTTTTTCTACAAACGTCAGTAAAAATCTAATTTTTAACGCATGCTGTCAGTGCCTAAAATGTGACATTATGTCACTGATTATGGCACTGGTGCTAAAAGTAAGTCACGTGATTTACTTTTAACACTGAAGCGATAATTGAAAAAAAATAAGAAAAATCAAGTCAACGTAAAATAATTATTTATTCAAATTAAATGTACAGGGTGAGTCAACGATAGAGTAAAATCCATTATCTCATTTGTTTCGAGGTTTACAAAAAAATGTTAAATACAAAAGTTATAGGGAAGATTAAGATACACATTTTAAAATTATTATAGAGTATACAGGGCGCTTCAAAAAAGTGTGTAAGTCCTAAAAATCAAAATGCGTTTCTATGGTAATATAATTTCACTTTCATTCTTTCATGGATTGTTAGTGATAGTGATTGTTATTGACTGTTTTAAAATGTTAATGAAGCACAAAATTTATTTAGTTCAATGCTACGGAAAGGGTGGTAATAGTTATAGGAAAATGTGATACTTTAACAACAGCAAAAAAAATCGAAATTATATTACCATACAAACGCCTTTTGATTTTTAGCACTTTGAAAAAATCCAACCAAAATTCCTTTTTTTTTGTTTTTAGTTTCCTCTAAAACGGTTGTGGACACTTGGAAAAACATAAACTGCATTAATCATCTTAGAACAAGCAAACATTTTTATGAAGAATTCATTTTTTTCAAATGTCAATAACAAAAAAGTTTTTCCTCTTGTAAAGACAATCCGGGGACATACTGTATATCATCAAAAGTTTTTGATAAGAAATATTTTTTGGAGAAAATTTAAAAATGTATTACTTTTTATTGTAAATATTATAACGATTGTTACTAATTCGAAAAATGTTATTAATTATCTATTACTACTTACCATTGTTAAAATTTTGCAATATTTTTGAGCATTGAATATTAGTCTCCAAACAATGGACTGACTGTGTCTTGATAGAGATTTGTGTCATATATTTTATATATTATGTAGATATTTTTTTCTATTTATGTCATATGAACCGAATATAACAGAATATTTAACAAATAAAGAAATTAATTTTGTCAGAACATAATTTTTGAGAAATCTGAACGATTTTTTGCAGTGTAGGTTTTTTAATTTGTTGTAAGCTCAACTTTGAGCTTAAAATTAACAGTTTGGTTATACAGTGTGGGCCCTCTGATAGATTTCGACAAAAGTAATATATTCATTCTTTACTGTTTTTCAAATAAGTCCAAAATAACCCAGTCGTTTTAGCTAGATGATTAAAAAACATGTTTTTCTTAATTTTTGGGAGTCACAGTTCTTATAGTTTTTAACTGAAAATTTAAAAATTTAACCAAACATTTTTGAAAAAACATATATAAAATTTTAAACATTTTTTTCAGGAAAAAAACTCATATGCGTGTCTAGGTTTAAATACTTATACCACCCCTAAAAATATTTGCACTTATTTAATGTCCACCCGGTATAACATACAGTGTATCTAATTTTGTCTTCTGGTTTGTGAGATATTTGTTATTTAAATTCGGTTAATTTTTATCTTTTGTTATTTCTGGAGAACCCATTTCAATTAACAGACTTAAAACCTACTTTAAATTGAAATATACTGCAAAATAAATTTAAATGGTGTTAAATTTGTGACATTTGATCTACAAAACATTTTAGATATTATAGTTTTTACTGTATTGTTTGTTTTTCAGTTGTTCAAATTTATTTAATTTTAAATAAGCTTTTTTGATTAATATTTTCTTTTTTATATATTTTGTCAAATATTCTGTATGTTGTTAGTTACTATTTGTGTTGAAGAGATGTATTGATTTTCTTGTAGTGTGTGCAAGAAAATTCATTATAGCAATAAAATACGGAACTGACTGTTTTTCCAGTGGCGGATCTACAGTTTTTTCATTGTCGAGGGGTCTAGTATTTAAAAAAAAAGTCCAACAGAGTGCTCGTTGAATGAGTATGCTAACAAACCAACTGCTTGGAGGGAAAAGAGGAGAAAAAAATTACTAAACGAGGTCCACCAAATCGTGGCGATATAACAGTGTTTACTAGTTTAGTATGATGTTGTACTAGGTACTTATATTTTTGATACATTTTGATACAAATTCTGTTCTTTTACAGTGTTTTCTTACTTCTGGTTTCTGCAGTGTAAATAATTATTATTATTGTGTTATTTGCGCTATTGCGTTTCATGATATAAAGAAATATAAGAATTTTATTTTTTAACCACTTAATCCATTTTATGGAAGAAAAATGGTACATTTAATACAAAACAAAAATGGAACAATTTTAAGGCTACTTTTCTTGAACTTACGATCGAGATACTTTTGGAAAATACAAAGTTTTGCCTTCCTAATTTTCGTTCTAAAAAGATATAATTGGTATCATTGAATAAATATTTCTTAAAAAGAACGAAAAGTTAGGCATCAAAACTTATATTATTTCCTAAATTTGTTCATAAGAAGTAGTTTTATCTAGTACAAGATGTATATATGAAGCAAAATACATACGTATACACGCGGTAGTCACAACTGCAATGTGTAAACAGAGTTTAAACGTAATACACAAGCACTGTGTATCCTACGGCACACTGTGTATCCCTTACTTTGTGTATACGTAAATGCTATACTGTGGCTACATTGTGAGGCGGACGTTTAACCTTTGTGCATACGTGTTGAACTACAATGTGTAAGCGTAGCATATTTACATCGGGGGAATTGTGTCACCCTGTGTCTACATTTAATAATGTTAACACATCGTAAATGTGATTTGATGTGCTGTATGGGATATTTCCTTCGGCTTATCCACGCTTTATCCGACCCCTGAAAGCGTCCCGAAAGCGACCTCGTATCTCTTCTAGTATCCGAGACTCCAATGATGAGGCCCCAGTTTAGGACAACCTATGTATATAGCATACAATATTTTTAGTTTTAACCTTCTCTAGTTCTCTAGTAATACTGATAGGTATAAAAAATGCAAAAAATCTAACTGTAACTTTTAGTTCCTTTCTAATATAAATCAAACATCACTTATATTTGGAATTGTTGTAGCTTTTTCTAGGAGTGGAGAATTTTTCGTAGATCCGCCACTGACATCTGTTAACTGTGTAAACTCTGATATTGAGTACTAGTACTGTTGATACCGCGTTACTAAATAATGTTTGTTATACTCTACCGATTGTTTGGTACAAATTATTATTAATATATTTATACTGTATAATTTTAGTTTAATAAAATAAATATTACATATTTTAGTTTATTTTTTCAATGTATACGTATTGATGTTTTTGACAGATTTATGTAACTATTTTTACCCGACCATACCAATAGGTATGGTAGGCTATTAGGATCGGCAAAAAAAAAGTTTTTTTAATTTCACTCAAAATGAGTTATTTGGGTCATGAATGACCTAAATACAATATATTTTCATGGTGTCTGTCTGTCTATCCGTAACTGTAACACGATAACTCAAAAACCGCTAAATCAATTTTAACCGAATTTGGCACAAAAATACTGTGGCACCCGGGAATCTGGCCATTAGTTTTTGGTGAGGGTGGGGGGTTGGTAAGGGGGTATGGGAGGGTGTTAAAAATTTAAAAAAATCGTAACTCCAAAATTACAGTAACTATCGAAACGCGGTTTTCAATTTAAGATTATAAATAATATTTGCAACAAAATTTGTAATAACATCAAAATCAGTCAAAGTCGCAGTTTTTGATATAAAAAAAAATATTAAGTATGGGCGGCGATACGTGCTTCCCGGCGCCATTTTTTTTAAATAAATCAGTCTCATAACAAGATTGAACGAACCCATAGTAGCTAAAAGAACTTTTTATTTTTTCGATTTTTTTTGTTAGTGGTCCATTTCATTTTGAAAAGCTTCGAAACAGCTATTTTATTTATTATATTGTAATTTTTTAATAAATCCTACATTATTATTTCTTGATTAGATTTACTTAAAATTTGGAACTGTTCGATAAAATAAATAAAATTGGTGTTTCGATGCCTTTCAAAAATGAAATGGACCATTATAAACCACAAAAATAAAAAAAATTGACCACATAAATAATTTTTTTAGCGGCTGAAAATACAATTTTAAGTGAAATTAAGATGATGGCTTGGGAAATTGCTGACATCAAAAAAACAGTAAATAAAATCCACGTCTTACTTCTAGCAAGCAGTTATAACATTGCTAATATTGGAAACCTCCCTTCTGAACAATGGCAGCTGCCACTCGCAGATAATGTTTCTTTGGAGTCCTTTGAAGCATTTTTGAAGGAAGATAAGAATATTGAACTGTTGGTAATGCATCAAGTAAACATTTTAACAAAATCATCGTTCTTTTTTATATTTTTTTAGAGTCAACGGTTGTATCTTTGCGGTGGTGAAACTGTTCACAAGGCAATATTTTCAATCATGAAGAAGCTTCTGGCTAAAGAGTTAGCAGTTTTGTATTCAGGCAGTGGCAAAAAGGGCAAGCTGTCATTTAAGAAGCTCAATTGTCACGCTGCAGTCATACGTAAGCATTATACTTCTTCCTTAATTTTTTCTATTGAAATCTCTATACAGGGTGAGTTTTAAATAAGTGCAAATATTTTCAGGGCTGGTAGATCTCGATAAAAGAAACATATTTTCTCTTTACCGTTTTTCAAATAAGTCCACAATAACCGAGTTGTTTTACTTTGAAAATTTAAATTTAATTTAAAATGATTTTTTTGGTTAAATTTTGAGAAATACTGTATCTTTTCTGAATTTTCTTTCTTGTGAATTTAATTTAATACATATGCTGCCATATTAACAAGATATATTTTCTAACTAAAAACTATTCGGAAAAATCCCTCATAATCGTGTTTCTGGGGTCAAAATATACTTACTTCTAAAAATATTAAATAACATTGGAACTGATGAAAAAAAATCAATATATATGAGACCAGGATAAAGAGCAGCCTCCTATATGGAGTAGAAACATGGAGAATAACTGAAAAATACAAGAAGAGGATAGAGGGCGTAGAAATGGATGCCATTCGAAGATTAATGGAAATTTCCAGACAACAACGAATAAGAAATAATGCCATAAACGTAATGGGTATAGATGGCACAATAATACAGGATATAGAGAGAAAGCAGCTGATCTAGTACGGGCATGCAGAGCGAATGAAGAATACAAGATGGCCCAAGAAAGTAATCAATTGGCCACCAAAGGGCAGAAGAAAACAAGGAAGACCGAAACTGAAATGGCCAAAAAGCGTACACAAAGCGATGAGTGAAAGAAACCTGTCAACAGAGGATTGTACGAATAGAACAGGCTGATGGGAAATTGGGTATCAGACAACGTAGAAAAACGTTTTAAACCGGATAATATATATATACCTAAAATATTTGCACTTATTTAAGACTGACTCTATATAACTACGAAGTCAAAAACAAAGGAGAAACATCTTGTTTTGAGCTTTAAATTTGTTTTTAGAGGCTGTCCGAAAACGATTTAAAAATGCCACCGACAACGAAATTGAGAAGTCGATTTCAGCATATTTGGCGGGAGCAGCAGACAGAGATGGTGGACGAAAATATAGATAGACTTTCCTAATCTTTCCGCATACATTTGTTTTTAGTATTCTTTTTTTTAATAATTGTTTAATTAAAACCTTTTCTGAAAAAAATTATATTCTAAAATAATGGAAATAAATCGTACTAGACAATTTTGTGTTTAGTATTTTTTGTAGCAATATCGGATACCTGTAGGAAATCCGTATTGACAGAAGGATAGATAGATTATTAAGCTAGCTGTCGGCCTATTCCACTGCGGCATTTTCAGATTAGTTGTGGTTCTTTTTTATCTCTGGTTATATTATTTACAAATTATTAGATAAATTCATCCCATATATGAACCTTGGAAGAAAATTATACTATTATATATATATTACTTATAATTATTACTATAATAATTATAATAATATATATATTATATTACTTATAATAATAAATCGCTAAAATATTAAGACTTTAACACCCTGTAGCTACGAAACAAAGCAGAATCGGACCAATGTTGAAATGAAAAATAAATCTAATTTTTACGTGACGAATCTTCCTACTACAGATGGCACATTCTTTTTGAAACACCCTGTATTCTATATTCTACATGGCAGTAAATGGGTAGTTGCGTCTTAATATTCAGCAAAAATTGCTGCAGCAATACCATCGTTCTATTGCATTTTGACATAGTTTTTTTAAAAAAAACCTTTTCCAATCTCCTATCACACAAGCTCTGGATTTTACTTTTGTCAAGTTTTTGTTTGTATCAATACTAAAAAATCATAGATTACTATAAATGATTACTATAAGAACAAAGGTTGTTTTTTGAATTTTTGATTTTTAAAAATAATGGGTGCCCCTAAATTTTTTTTTCAAATTTTTATAAATTTAATAATGTTTTTAGGATATTTTTGGTGCAACGTTTGTCACAGATCTTATGTTCATCGTCGCAACTGGGTGTCACATGTAAAATTCGAATGTCAGAAACCTTATAGATTTTTTTGTGACATGTGCGACTACAAAGCCTATAGAAGACAAAGTGTAAGGCGCCACTGTATTACCAAGCATGGGAAAATGCCAACTCATTTTTGACTGTTATTTTGATAAATTAGTAAAGTATTTGTAAATATTTTGATGGTTTTAATGATACTATTTAGTTGAAATCTTTGGGATTATAATTGATAATAACATAAATCTACGACAATACAAGTTATACCGACACAGTTATAAAGTTTAACTCTTGATGCACGTAATTAAGTAAGCCTGTTTCTCTTTTTTGAATGAATATGACTATAAACGCTAAAACTGCGTTCTGTGGCAGCCGAAGATGCTGGCATCATCAAAATTCGTGAAGCTATACTTGTGATAATGAAGATGAAGAACACAGTTCTTTCCACCAGGAGACTGGGTTATCAAAACTACTTTTTCATATGAAGTTATTTCCAAATAACTTGCCACTTCTACAACGGTAATCTGTTATTTCATCTATTATTTCTTGCTCCTTTATATTGAGTTTATTTTTTGATATATTAAGTACCTATGCATTCTATAACAGAAAGAATTTGGGTTTCATCAAGTTCAGAACCTTGTGATTTTGGATTTAGTAATTCTGCAGCATAATGAATGGGTTTAATAGCAAATTTTTCTCTTTTGTCAACAAACTCCAACAATTCGGATTTTTCTTTGTCGTCAAGTGAGGACAATGCAAGATTATTGTGAACTACCCTTCTAATATTACAAAATGCTTTTACAGCAAAATGAATCTCGATCAGGGATTCCCCTACGATACGACCAACGAGTGTGGGACTTCCCTGTAGAAATGCGAGGTTGCAAATAAGTAGGTGAATCCTCAAACTCGATATATTCACCATATTATTTGTTTGTAAAACTGTTCTATAGTAAGTTTAATGTTTATAGGGTTACAAAATATGAAAGATATTAATATATCGTATATATTATAAACATCGGGTTTGAATCGTTAATGACAAGATTTAAGTATTTTTTAAAATATTCCCAATATTTCCGAGACACGTTCGGAAATTTCCAATATTTCCATTTACAACACTACACAATACCAACAAGCATGTTATTCTCCCACTCCATCCAAAAAAACACCACAAGTATAATATAGCAACCTGTGTTATATTTTACATGACAGTTTAGTAATTTATTCGTTGCAAGGTAAAAAATGTGCTAAACTATATGTCCAATCGTTATAATATAAGCAAGGTTTTGATGGAAAAAGGCATCTCAACTTTCAACTAAGATATTAAAATGTCCCTGCAAAATAAATATAATATTAGCGTTAACTATTAGTTACATTACATTTAAACAGAGGGATCACTTTACCATAAAGGAATGTTTTTATTCCCTGAACATGTTTCGTTCTTGATCAAATCAAATAATAAAATGTTGTCAGTTTTAATGATATGTCTATACTAAAATGATTATAATAGTTCTTCTAACTGCACTATGTTTGTAAGAATGGGTTTGTTCTCAATAATAAGAGTATTGTTGAAACTACCTTATTGTTTTTTATGTGTTGTTTTAGCACGTAGTTACTACGTTTGTTACACCTGTCAAAGGGCGTACTCGAATCGTGGCAATTTGCAACGACATCAAAAGTACGAATGTCAAAAAGTTTACAGATTTTTCTGTAACGATTGCGACTACAAATCCTGTAGAAAAAGCGACTTGGAACGCCACTGTCTTATGAAGCACGGAGTTACAAAAACGCAAAATCCATGTTGATCAACAGAATAAATAATATTTTGCAAAAATTGTTTGGTTTTCCTAAAATTTCCTCATTATTTTTTTATTAGTTTTTTCTCAATTTATTTTTATACATTGTATACAGGGTGTTTCAAAAAACATGTGCCATATCTCGTGGGGAGATTCCTCACGTAAAAATAAGATTTATTTTTCATATCAACATAGGTCCGATTTTGCTTTGTTTCATAGCTACAGGGTAGTCAAGCCTTAATGATCTTTCGATTTATTATAATTTTCTTCCAAATGCCTTTAATGATTCGAATGAAATTTTGAGTGTAAGGGTTTGGTCTCAATAATAAGTCTATTGTTGAAACTACCTACCTTATTGTTTTTTCTGTGTTGTTTTAGCACGTAGTTACGTTTGTGACACCTGCCAAAGGGCATACACGAATCGTGGCAATTTGCAACGACATCAAAAGTTCGAATGTCAAAAAGTTTACAGATTTTTCTGTAATGATTGCGACTACAAATCCTGTAGGAAAAGCAACTTGAAACGCCACTGTCTTGTACACACAGGGAGTTACAAAGTCGCACAATAAATGTTGACCAATAGAATAAATAATATTTTGCAAAACTTGTTTGGTTTTTCTAAAATTTCCTTCTTATTGTTTTTTATAATTTTTTTTTCAATTTATATTTATACAGGGTGTTTCAAAAAACATGTGCCATCTCTGGTGCGGAGATTTTTCACGTAAAAATAAGATTTATTTTTCATATCAACATATGTCCGATTCTGCCTTGTTTCGTAGCTAGGGTGTTAAAGTTGTGACGGTCTTTCTCTGGAGACCTTCACTGACGCCAAGATTTATACGGCAATGTACAGGGTGTTAATAATCTATTCTATTGTAGCCTGCATTTTTAAATATCTTTAAATATCTCAAAAACCAAAGATTTTAAACATATTTAACCCTTATAATAAGTACCTTTTTTTGGACCCAAGAATCCAATAATGAAATAAAATACAGGGTGTTCCATAAGAAAAAATATAACTTTGTTATGTATCTTAGTTCTGAAACAACCTATACATTTCAAAATAATTTTAAATTGTCATCTTTCCGTTTTCGTATAGTCAACCGAGGAGTATGAGGTGCGCCACCCTGTATATATTTGCATTTCCTTTGCAAGTCTTCTTTCTATTAGACACTATACACTATAACAGGTAGAACACAGTTATTAAAATAAAATATTTCATATATTTAATAAAGCATTTTCTTGTAGCTTTTCGTTGTCATTGTGGCAAATCCTACAAGCAAGTTCACAACTTGACCCGCCACAAAAAATACGAATGTGGCCAAATACCGAAATTCGTGTGCAACATTTGTGGTTATGCAGGATTCAGGAACAACGTACTGAAGCTTCACTACATGACCAAGCACAAAGGTCTCTTCGCCAATGACACTTTTTAAATCTTATTATTCTGTTAAAATCATATGACAGAAAAAAAAACGACGTCATAGTGACCGTTGAACGGACAATCCATGATCATTTTTCAAAAATTAATATGGAAAAACGTAAAAAGTTATTCGCAGACAAATCTATACTATAAAACTTAATTTTTGAAACTGGTTTCGTGTTTTTTGGACTGACAGATATTTCCATCAAGTGTAGATAAATTAGAGGCCGCCGTGACGTCGTTTTTTACGTACATTATGTTATTTTTATGTCTCTGAGTTAGAAGTTGTATAGAGAAAATCGATTATACCCTACTGGCTTCTAATTCGTACCTATTGTAATATAATATGGGATTATTATTATTATTAGGATATTTGATTTTTGAGTCGGTGAAGGGGTAGGTTGCTCTTTTGCCATCTCTTCTACCTTTTTTTCATTCATACACATTCTATTTTTCATCAATAAATTATAATATACAGGGTGGAAAAAATAGATCATTTTAGTCCGCTTGAAAATAATTTAATTATAGATTTTGAAAGTAGAATTACATTATGTTATTTTCATGTCTCTGAGTTAGAAGTTGTATAGAGAAAATCGATTATACCCTACTGGCTTCTAATTCGTACCTATTGTAATATAATATGGGATTATTATTATTATTATTAGGATATTTGATTTTTCAGAATTATTTTTGTCTTTTGTTTATATTTAATAAATATATTGGCATTTTTAAACGTATAACACCAAATTTTATGTACTAAATTATGATGAGTTAATTATTTTCTTGATATATTTTTTTATTTAACCAAAATACATTTATTTGAAGAACACAAAGAAGATTTTCTTTTCTTTGGATATTTACATGAAATGTTTTTTTTTGGTGTAGCACGATATATTTCCTAATATATGAGAGTATTTTAATCAATAATACATGTACATTTTTAGGATTATCTTCTCATTTTGAATGTAGGAATTGTGGTAAGCAGTACAGGCATTATAAGGGCCTTAGGAGACATATCTCGGAGTGTGGCCAGGAGAAGAAGCAGAAATGTAATTTGTGCTCTCACAGGACCCATAGAAAGGAAAATTTGCGAACTCATCTGATAATGAAACATAAACTCATGTATTATCCATAAAGTAGTGATGGGAAAAACCGATTAATTTCAATTAGTGATGGGTTGTTATTTAACTATCTGTTATTTTATAACAATTATTTATAAATAACATAACGCAACCGTTACTACTTCTAAAAAATAACAGATATAAAGTAACGACACGTAGAGATCGGCCGCTCGTGAAACGAAAAACGAAGTCAGCGCTCTGCACCGCCACGAAATTCTATGCTGCTCGAAGCAATTCCAAAAAACAACTAGTATGGATTTAAAACCTGTTATTTCGTCAACCATCGATACAGGCGGCGAGACAACGGACAACGGAGTGGGGAATGCACTACGGCGAATGTAGCTGCTTCGGTCGATACCGCTTAAAAATAATAGGATATAAAAGAAGCAGGTTTTTTGAAACAGTTGCGGGCATAACGCCTGGCGGTCGAGATAACAGGAGTGGGAAAGTAACGCTGCTGCATCGGTCGATTGTGGATGGAGGTTCGAAACAGGTTGGAGAATAACGCATCAGTTGTTTTAGATACACTGTTTTTCAACCTGTTACGAGCATAACGGGCGGAGGTCGAGATATTATGGCGCTGTATGTTTCAGTACTTACTTATTAAGTTTCAATATTTAGGTATTTATTTATTCAGAAAAATTTTCAGAATAATATTTTAAGATTTTTTAAAAATGTATACAGGGTGTTATGAAAAATCTGGTCATTGATTAAACACGATCCTGCTTAAAGCCCTTGACGTAAAAAGCTGATTTTTGGAAAACGCATTGACTTTAGCGTGTAGAGGTTTGATAAGAAGGGATTTTTCGAAACTAGAATTCTAAGGGGGTGAAACTACCCTCAAATATTAGAATATTTTGTTATTTAAAAACCGATGAGTTTTTCGGAAAAACTCTTAAAACACGTAAATTTTATTATGTTGTTTTACATATTTTAAGATTTTTTAAAAATATATACAGGGTGTTTCATAAAATATGACCATTGAGTAATCACTATTCTGCTTAAACTGCTTGACGTTTAAAGCTGATTTTTGGCAAACGGTTGACTGTGGGTTTGAGGTTCGATAAGGAGGGGTTTCTCAATCTCAAATTCCAACAGGGTGAAAACGCCCTCAAATATTACAATATTTGTTATTTAAAAACGATTAGTCTTTCGGGAAAACGCCTGGACACGCATAATTTATTTTGTTTTTTTACATATTTTGAAATTTTTTAAAAAATCATACAGGGTGTTCCAAAACGTTGAGTAATTGATTAACCACGATTCTGCTTAAACTGCTTGACGTTTAAAGCTTATTTTTGGCAAATGTGAGAAAATTTTATCCAGTTTGTATGTTAATGGAAATTCTTGTTTTGCTTTATCATCACCATTAGAAATTATTAATTCGACGCGAACGAAGTCGCGGGTACACGCTAGTTTAAGTGTAAAATTAATTCGAACTCTAGTGTGTAGTTGGTTTACTTATGAAGAATATACTACACATTTTCTTATATTGCTATTTTTTGACCGCAAATGGTAAAATCATAACTAAGAGCTTCTCGCCTGTCGAGTGAGATGCACCCTGTACACTGCTACGCAATTCAAGATCTACGCGGATCGAGGGGCAGGGCGTAGGTAGATCGGAATGTATAGGTATAGACGAGTGGCGGAATTTTGGCTTTTTATATCGCAATTTGTAAACAGCGCTTATTTGTAAACAACCACCGTTTTTAGAGGGTATTTTAGATAACAATCGATATTTAGAAATGTTTTGACACCCTTGAAATACTACCACCGAGCACGTCATTGTTGCAACTTGCAACTGCGTTAATACGCCTGGCGGTGACCGCCTCATAATCTTTCAGATATTTAGCAGTAAAATAAAGAAACCTGTTATTTTTAAGCTGTTATTTTAAGCTGTTTTTTTATAAATAACTATAACAGTTTCAACTGTTATCTGAAAATAACAGTTTTGCCCATCACTAATTTCAATAATCGAGCGATCGCTCGAGCGAAATATCGCTCGTATTTAAAAATACGGTTTTTCGTCCGTCGCTTGTTGTAAGTACTCGTTAACGCCAAGCGCCAAACAGTAAGTTGCGTGCGCAGGGCACATATTCTTTCGGTGATGAATGGCAAGTGGCAAGCGACGAGCGACGAGTAATTCGCTTGATTTAGTTCATTTCAAAGCATTGTCGATGTAGGTCGTAAGATTTTGTCACTCAGATGCGCAACGGATAACGTCGTATAAATGTATGTAGAAAATTCGCTCGGCTTTTATCCGGTATGTCACATTAAAATCGGATTTCAATTTATTTCATTTTAGGATCGCTCGCGTTCGTCGCTTGTAACTCGTCAATTGCATCGCTTGTTCATAATCGAGCGATGTCGGTTATTTCAATAATTGAGTACTCGAGCGCATTTTCGCTCGAGTTATCCCATCACTACCATAAAGTACAAGTTTATAAAAAACGATTACTGGGAATCTTTTTTTTCAACATAATTGTATATGTTACAGTAAAGCTGGATACTTGGCTAGTTTAAAACTAACCAACAATTTTTCAGAGTATTTAAAAAGTCTGTAATTTTGAAATAATTCGCCTATTTCTGCAAAATGGCAGGTACCTGTAGTAGCTAATAACTTTTATTAAGTGTTGAATATGTTTGAAATTACCAAAATTTTGAAAATAGTGATTAAATGTTTAATCTTGGATTGTCTGTAAAATGTTAAACACAAAACAAATATGATTTATGGAAAATTAGTGAAAATGCCTTGTAAAATAATACAGACATTTATGTCGTCTAACGGGAAATTCCCTGACATGTATTTTCTGTAATTTTTCGGATGTCGTCTGTACCCCTGACTCGTTAGACTAAACATTACAGAATATACCGGGTGTCTCTCAAAATTGGCCCACTTCTATAACTTTTTCATTTTTTCAGATAAATAAACGAGATTTGATACATTAGTATATGCCATAAATTAGGGTTGATTGACGTATTCAATTGTTTTCGGTCACTTCCTGTTTCACCGGAAATGACTACAACTTTTCATTTTTAAATGGTTCCCTCGGTATATTTTTACCTTATTCGATAGAAAATCACACTCTGAATATATAATGACATATATGTCAACTTTTGACAAAAAAAACGTATTTTAAATTTCAATCTAGAGTGCCATGGCTGTGTTAAAAACACTATTTTTTAATCAAGGAGTCTTGGAAATAAAAAATAATACCGAGGTTGTCATTTAAAAATCAAAAGTTGTAGTTATTTCCCGTGAAACAGGAAATGACCAAAAACAATTGAATACGTCAATCAATCCTAATTTATGTCGTATATCAGCATACCAAATCTCCTTATTTTATCTTCTGGAAAAATAAATAAGTTATAAGGGTTAGCCACTTATAACACATTTTTGAATCTTAAAAATATCACACAATAGTGATATTTTTAAGATTCTTTAAAGAAGACTCAGTCAATAAACTCATAATATCACTATTACTTTCTGACCTTCCCCTATAGTTCTGCTCACGTGCATGTTCATATCTTTGACATATTTTTCAGGACTTACTTTGGGAAACACATCGTATATTTGTTCTTGATTATATAAAATTATCTACTTATTTGGTTTCTCCAACTAATGTGACTTCTAGTCCTTAAATACCAAATATACTTATTTTTACATTAGTTTTTGTTTTCTTCACCCGAAAATAGATAAAAAAATTGTAAAAATACTATTAAATCCTGGTAGAAGGGTCTTTAATCTTTAGCTAAACTAAAATATTTAGTTAAATTTTGTTAATTATAAAAAAATAAAAAGTTTATTTATATTTTAGTCTGGCCATTCAAGGAACAACGAGAACGAGTAGTTATGGATCTGAGATGTTATAAATGTGGCAACACTTTTACAAGAGTTGACAATTTGAAACGCCACGTCAAGTATATTTGTGGCGTGAAGCCACAATTCAAGTGCAGCTACTGTCCGTATGCTTCCAAGCACAAGTATGTTTTGGCACTGCACATCAAGACCAAGCATGGCGACTTACTCATTAATAACATTTGTCGAACAATATTCGAATAACATTAATGAAATTAATTTATTTTTAATTATAAGAAAGACATCATTCATGTGTTGTTGAATGAATTAAATATTATTCTGATCTTTAGTTGTAAAACTTTTGGTTATAGCAAGTTTTCACAATGGGACCCAATTTATATATACAGGGTGGCGCCTCTCATACGCCGCGAAAGCTCCAAGGAGAACGGTAGTTTATATCGAAATGAAATTTTGTCAGCATATGTAGGTTAATTGACAGCATTTTATAAAAATATATAGAATTATACAGGGTGTCCCCAAAAAAAGTTGCGGTTTTTCTAATAGAACACCCTAAATATTAATTGATTTTCGGATTTTAGGAAAAAAATAAAGGTGAGTTTTATTAAAAAAGCATATACCTAAAATCTCAGGATTTTGAAATATTTCAAATTTTGTGAAAATGAAGAGTAAATTTTAAATTTCGATAATAGCTACCTAAATTTTAGTTTACCTTGTATAGCCTGATATTTAGTTAAAGTAACCATTGTATGTTAAACCAAATTGAAATTTGACCCGAAAAGTTATATAGGGTGAGACAAAATTAATATGGAACATTCGTCACTTTTAAAAGCAAGTTACTCCTTTATTTTAAATAGAACATCCAGAAATGTAAAACCATGTAAACACTGTCTTTAACATATCCCCATAAAAAACTCAGACTAGATAAAATTAGGAGCATTTAAGTATTTTATTAACAATTGGTGAATGCACATTGCATTCACGAAATAATAGAATCATACAAATTCTCTCTGATGTAGTATAAGTTTGCATTTTCAGCAAATTTCTAAGAATTTTTTTTGTTTCAACTGACACAAAATGATAACTAGTTTAATTTGATTTAAACTACAATAGTTAATTTAACTACATATTAGACTATACCGGGTAAATTCAAATTTAGGTAACTTTTATTGTAATTTAAAAATTGTTCTTTATTTTTAGAAAATGTTAAATATGTCAAAAACCTTACATTTTAGTCATATACTTCTGTTATAAAACTTAACTATATAGGGTGTTTCATTACAGAACACACAACTTTGATATGTAACTTTTTTGGAGACACCCTGTAGAACTCTCTATATTTTTATTTATATATGCTTACAAAATTTCATTTTAATACAAACTGTCGTTCTCTTTGGAGCCTCCGCGGCGTATGAGAGGCGCCACCCTGTATAGGGTGTCCCAGAAATAGGTGCAAATATTTTATGGGTTGGTAGATCTAACCAAAAGAAATATATTTTTACCGTTTCTTAAATAAATTAATAATAAAGGAGTTATTTAACTTGCCACCCTATCTCGGTTAATTTTGATTTGAGCAAAAAAAGGGGTCAACTTTCGTTTAGCTGAAATCAATTATTACAAAAAAAAATTGTCTTTAAAAAGCTACTGTGAACCACGGAAAACATAAATTTTCCTGCGGAAATGCGTAATTTCCATATTTCGCACTTTAGAATAACTGAAATCTGCTATAAAAAAAAATTTGGGTTTTATTTTTAATATTTTTCTGAACATATAAACACAAAAATTTTCCTGCGGAAATAAGCTGTTTTCATTTTCTAAAGAAATTTATTAGACTTTAGAATAGCTGAAATCAGTTATATAAAAAATAAATATATTTTTGCCTTTTAGAAGCATTCACGAATTGAGGAAAATAAAAATTTTCCTGCGGAAATAAACTGTATCCATTTTCTGAGGAAATTTAATAGACTTTAGAATAGCTGAAATCAGTTATATAAAAAATAAATATATTTTTGCCTTTTAGAAGCGTTTACAAACTCAGGAAAATAAAAAATTTCATGCGGAAATGCTTGATTTTCATTTTCCATTTTTGTGAGCATAAATACATAAAAAAATATCTTTTTATCACTTTTGAACCAAAAAAATCATTTAAAAGTGTCTAAAATGCTATCCAATCTAATAATATTTTTACAAAATCACAGTTAATTATGAAAATATGAAAACCACAGCTTAACACCCTCCACAAAGAAAAGCTAACCAAAGCAACCCAACTCCTAACCAATCTAATAATATTTTTGCAAAATCACAGTTAATTATTAAAATATAAAAACCACAGCTTAACACCCTCCACAAAGAAAAGCTAACCAAAGCAACCCAAATCCTAACTAATCTAATATTTTTGCAAAATCACAGTTAATTATTTTTTTGAATCAGTCCTATTTACGTAAAGCTTTAATAAAAAAAAACAAGAATAAGTGCAACATTCCGAGGTTCTTATAGTTTACAAGAACCTTCTATTCTACAAGAATTGTTATTCCTTCGAAAGATGTTTTACCCCACACAGCACCCCTATTCGCTCCCGGGTCCCGTAAGCTTTTAAACTGAAAAATGTATGAAAAACAAAATGCACAAAATGACATTGATTAACCGGAATCAGTTACATTTTTCATGTAACTGATTCCGGTTATTCTAAAGTCAAAGCATTTTTTTATGTAAAATAAAAATAAAAAATTTCCGCAGATACTTTTTTGTGTTTTTATGTTTAGAAAAATGTCTAAAACACACTCCGAAGAAAAAAAAATCATATTTAGGTACACAGTTTTGATGTAACAGATTTCGGCTATACTAAAGTCCGAAAAAAGAGCATTTAAAGAACCACTAGGGATACAATGGGGACTCTTAAGCAGGCTAGAAGACCTGGATTACGCAGACGATCTATGCATCTTTTCCCATTCACATTCGGATATGTCTCAAAAACTTCTTAGACTCCAAGAGGAAGCTAATAATGTCGGTCTTCAAATCAACGTGGCGAAAACCAAAGAAATGAGGTCAAATACTCCCAACAACCAAGATCTATACCTCTCCAACCGAGCCATCGAAAGAGTTGATGAATTTCAGTACCTGGGAAGTATGGTTCACAGCGATGGGGGCACAGAGAAAGATACAGAGGAGAGGAAAGGATTTTGAAGGCCCAAAGAGCTTTTGGCATGCTTACACCTGTGTGGAACTCCTCTATATATATAGCAAAAAAACTAAAGTCCAGCTCTTCAATAGCAATGTCAAATCTATTTTGCTTTATGGACGCGAAACATGGAAGGTTACGTGTGGTCTCATGGATCGCCTGCAGGTGTTTGATAACAAGTGTCTTCGAAGAATATTGAGAATTTTCTGGCCCAATCAAATTAACAACGAAGAACTGTGGAGAAGAACATCACAAAATCGAATAGATATCGAAATTAAGAAAAGAAAGTGGGGCTGGATTGGGCACATTTTGCGCAGAATGGAATCCACAGGGAAGACGTGCCAGGGGAAGACCAAGGAATACCTTGAGAAGAACAGTAACCTCTGAAGCCCAAGAGGTCGGGAAAACATGGGGAGAGATCAAAGAGACAGCTCAGAATAGGATCAGATGGAAACATCTCTTAGAAGCCCTATATCCCACGAAGGGATGACGGGAACATATTATATATATATATATATATATATATATATATATATATATATATATATATATATATATATATATATATATATATATATATATATATATATATATATATATATATATATATATATATATATATATATATATATATAGTCCGAAAAATGAAAATGACGCATTTCCGCAGGAAAAATTTTGTATATTTGTACTCCTAACGGCTTCTAGAACGCATATATAAAGGAATTTTTTATATAACAGATTTCAGCTCAACGAAAGTTGAGCCAAAAAAAGTATAGAGACCATTTTTATGTAAAATTGAACGCTCTACAACTTTGAAATTTCGAAAAATAATTTTACTACTACTACCAGCTAAAATACTTGCATTATTTATTTCTGGGGCACCCTGTATAGATTTGAGTGTTAAGGTGCGTATTCATTATCCGAACGAACGAACGAACGAACGAACGAACGAACGAACGAACGAATGAAAGTGCGGTATATTTAGACGGGGACCGAACGCATGCGGCCGTTCGTTCGTTCGTTCGCTCGACCATCCGTTTCGAGTCGGTACATCAAAGGCGTTCGCCAACAAATGCCTCCGGTCTTCTCGTGCGGTTCTATCGTGCGGTCCCCGTCCATACCACTAGTGAACATTCGTTCGTTCGTTCGTTCGTTCGTTCGTTCGTTCGTTCGTGCGGATAATGAATACGCACCTTTACTAATACGAATATGTTATCTGTGCTAATACGCAAAAAATCATATTTAGGTACACCTTTTTCTGTGACACTGTGTATCCTGTATATGAAATATGAACTCACGAATCTTATTTTTGATGTACCGTATGATCGAATAAAAACGGCGTCAGCGATGGCTATGAAATGAAGATCGCTGTCATTTTATATGTAAATTTATATGGGAAATGTCATCGATCGTCATTTCCCAGCCAACTGGACGCCGTTTTTATTCGATCATACGGTATTTATAAATACAAAGTATTACTTTTTTAATAATGTTGTTATTATGTACAAAGCACATTAAAGTTTACAAAGGAAATAAGAATATATATTTTTGATACTCTTATAGAACGAAGAATTGTATTTTAGTAATAACTTTTAATATCTAGGTATAAAAAAATATAGTAATTTTGATATTAACTCTTTTAAACTTATAGTGTATATTACTTAAGAGAAAATAGTTTATATGATTGTATGAAACGAGTATAATCATCACAGCTACTGGTTAAAGATAATTAATAACTTTTTTTAATAATTTTTATACATTAATGCATGTAAGTTTTTGATATATATTTTTTAAATAAATCTTTTTAGTGCTTATTGTTATTATTTAAGAATAATTCCATGTTAATACTGAGTTATAAATTTTATGACAGAAAAGGTAAGCTCTTCATAAATTTGTTTTGTGTCTGAAATTATATTTTTTTCTCTTTTATTTCAGGTTCAATGGAGATTTATTTGTTTAATATTAAGAAAATACCAGTATATAAACATTGTTTTATTTCAAAATTTATTTCAATAAAGCTGTTATTACTTTTATTGAGCTTTAAAAAATAATATATTTAATAAAATGTATGGTATCCTGTCTTTAGACGGTTTTAAGAAAAGCACGGTACAGGGGGCGTAGCTCAGATGGTAGAGCGCTCGCTTAGCATGCGAGAGGTACCGGGATCGATACCCGGCGCCTCCATTACTTTTTTATTTTTTTTTATTATTTTATTTAATTAAATTTTCTCACAGAATCCAAAAACCTCCTTCCAACAGCACAATTTTATTTTTCGCTGCTTTTTTTTGACTCGGTGAAGGGGTAGGTTGCTCTTTTGCCATCTCTTCTACCTTTTTTTCATTCATACACATTCTATTTTTCATCAATAAATTCGTTTAATATACAGGGTGGAAAAAATAAATCGTCTTTAGTCCGCTTGAAAATAATTTAATTTTAGATTTTGAAAATAGAAATAATTATGTATTGTGTTTATACAGGGTGAGTTTCCTACGATGTTCTCTATGGGTATCTCGGAAACTACTGGAGATAGAGAGTCGGTTAAATGGGTAAAGAATTGCAGTTTTGTGGGGTCATAAATATGCGCCTTTCAGATTTTTGAAAATGTTCATGGCTTACTAGATATTTCGAAAAAAATCAAATTTCGTCTATTTTGAAAATTGTCCATAATTCCATTATAATCTATTTTAGACAAAAACTTTTCAGATAAAAGTTGTAGATAATCACAACCCTAATGAGCTTGTGTTCTCCGATTTTTTCTAAAGCTTGCCATTTTTGACATATGACACAAACATATGTTTTTTTTAAATGGAAACCATAGTTGGCCATGACTTCATAAAAAGACGTCAAAAACGTCATATCTTTTGCTGTTTTAATATGTTAAAGAAGTACAAAAAATATTTGGTTCAATGCTGCGGAGAATGTAATTATAAATTTTGAGCTTTAACATTTTGAAATATGACTTTAATCAAAACTAAATCCAACCATCTAAAAAAATATTAAACAAAACGTTATTTTTAACACCCTGTATATTAAAATAGGCAAAAATATACTTAATTAAATTTATTTCTCTGAAGAATAAAGGAATATACTATTACTCAAATTTATTTGATGTAATCACTAAACCAGATGAACTTTTCCTCACAATCATTTTCTTTTAGATTATATGATCGTTTATTTCTGTGATATCTGCGGCAGAAGATACCAAAACAAGTCCTCTCTGAAGAGGCACAAGCGCATGGAGTGCGGTGTGGAACCCAAGTACCAATGCCCGTGGTGTTTCAGGAAATTCAAGCACGAGCACCACCTGGAACAGCACAGAAACGCCAAAATCAAGTGCACGGATTCGAAATACAAGGTCAAAGGCGAAGTGGAGTAAATTAGTTCAGGCTGTTTTCTCATAGATATAGAGGTAGGGGGGCATGCGCATTAACATGTGCAGAAAATCTAATCGTGATGGCCGCTGGCCGCCATATTCTCACTTAGATCTATAGGGGCAGGTCAGAAAGTAATAGTTTCTTAACGTCGTTTTTAGTTAATCTTTAAAATATGTCGTGTAATATAAATTAGACTATTATGATATACAGGGTCCGGCAATAGTGCGTCAGGCATCTGTAGCTCCTAGAATAAAACACTTGAGAATTTTTTTTAAGTGCAAACCTAAAGTATGTACCAGGATGTATTTCAGGAAAATATTTTTACTTTTATAGGATGGCTCAAAAAACTGTGAGTGGACCTGGATGATTTTTTTTTAAATGGAACACCCTATATATAATTGCATTTTTGGCTTCCTTTCAGATCACTTTACATAACCCTAAGATATGAATGAATATATTTCGATAGTTTCAGAGATATTAAAAAATAAATAAAATATATATATTTTTCAGTCCTTCTTAAAAAAATTATTAAACATACAAGAACTGTTCTGAAATCAAAACTATCTTAGGTATTTACTTTAGATAGTCTGTTCTTACATTGTTATAAATATAGTAATCGTATATCATACAGGATGTTCAATATTCTACGCCAAACTTTATAAAATATAAAATAATTGCATGGAAAATGCCATATGAAATATAAAACCGCAAATATCTGCGAAACCTTTAAAAAGTTTGAAATACTTTAAATACAAAAAATGTTCATTTTTTAAGTCTCCGTCTATTGAAAAAATAATATACAGGGTGTTCCATTTAAAAAAAATGAGGAAAAATTATTTTATATTTTAGAAAGTTTGGCGCAGAATTTTGAACATTCTGTATAATTTACGATTTTCATATTTATAGGAAAGTAAATACAGACCATCTAAAGTAAATACCTAATATAGTTTTGATTTCAGGACAGTTTTTGTATTTTTAATAATTTTTTTAAGAAGGGTTGAAAAATACATATTTTTTATTTATTTTTTAATATCTCTGAAACTATCAAAATATATTTATTCATATCTTAGGGTTATGTAAAGTGATCTGAAAGGAAGCCAAAAATGCAATAATATACAGGGTATTCCATTTAAAAAAAATCATCAAGGTCCACTCACTTTTTTGAGCCACCCTATAGAAGTTGAAATATTTTATTGAAATACATCCTGGCACATACTTTAGGTTCGCACTTAAACAAAATTCTCAAGTTTTTTATTCTAGGAGCTACAGATGCCCGACGCACTATTGCCGGACCCTGTATAAAGCGTAGTACAGGCTGTCCAATTTTCGTGTGTTTTATAGGGAAGTTTTTATAGGAAAATGTCAAAAGCTGTTATGTTCTATTCGGTCTCTGTCATTACTATTCAAAGTACCATTTTCTATCGAACAAAGTAAAAAAATAACTTGGGTGTCATTTAAAAATGAAAAGTTGTAGTAATTTCTGGTGAAACAGGAAGTGACCGAAAACAATTGAATACGTCATTTAATTCTAATTTATGTCATATACTAACATACCAAATATCGTTTTTTTATCTGAAAAAATAAAAAGTTATAGGAGTCAGCCACTTTTGAGATGCACCCGGTATAAATCG